GATAGTAGGAATCGAGCAAGAAAAAAAAGAGAAAACGTAGACGTCTAATTCAGTTTTGTATTCGAGATTCTTCGATGTGACTGAACATCTGGCTGACAGAGATTGCTGTAGAAGTACGTGAGAACTTCGGCGTATGTCTTGCCCGCCTTATAGGCCTCCAAGGTCTTCCAGAACCGCCGGAAAAGTTTGAGTTCAATGCGCTTCCGCTTGAAATTGACCCGAGATTCATCGATGAGTTTGAGCATGGTAGGAAACGTTTGGTCCGTGCGACTGCGAATAAACTGTTTCATATGGCATCACATGCCCTCTATGGCGTTAGTTTCGCAGTGATATTTTGGACAGAAGATGATTTTGACGTTGTATTTCGCTGTAAGCCGCTCGAGCTTATTGACGTTTTTGAGAGCGGGATGCTGAGAAAGGAGACTTTTGAGCTCATCCAGTTTGACTTTATCGGGAAGAGCGAGTTGCAGTTCTTGAGCGAGGGCGAAAAGTGCTCTCATCATGGCGTATAAGCACACATGGTTTCGCAGTAGGGGATTGCCAGTCGGGATTGTCGCCCTCTTTCACGGTGTAATAATGAGCTTTCCGTTCGACAAAGTAAGATACGAATTGTTCGCGATGAGCAACAACATCTGCTCTCTCGTGACCTTCGAAATAAGGGGGCTGTGAGTTAGGCTGAAACTTGGCTTCCCACCTTCGTAGATCAAGACGACAGCTCTTTTCAGAGCGGACGAGACCCTCTTCGCTTTTCTTTGACTGAGTTATTTCGTAGTACTTGTCGTCGATAAAGCGCGCCAAATGACCAGCGGTGAAATTTGCAGCCTTCTGAGAATAACCTTGGATTGCGAACGCTTTGGCTTCCATCTCCAACTCTGGATATGTATCGTAGAATGAGTTGCTTTGCTTTCCACCTCGATTATCTTCCGTAAAAGTATTGAAGTCTCCGGAAGGAAAGATTTTTGCCGACTTGTGTGCAGTTTTACAGCGGTACGCGCCAATAGAAGCCAAAAGATCATCAATGGTTCCCCAAGGAAGACCCACATGTCGTAAGAGCGTATAGAGAAGGACTGATAGATTTCGTACACCAGTTTGGGTTTTGCATAGTTCGAATAGATCGGCTATATCGGACAACTGTAGCTTCTCCATGAGTAGCGTATCATCTTTCCCCGGAATATATTCTTCTTCATCATCGTCGTCATCCTCCTTCTCCACACTCATCTCTTCCACTTCGTGTTCTTTCAATTTCTCCTCAAAACTTTCGACATCCTTCTCTTCCTCTTCTTTTCGAATCACCGATGAAGCAGCAGACGCAGATTGAGCTAGAGCTTTGCGCTTGTTAACCTTAGGCATGATAATCGAAGAGTAAATAATTGAATCGCAGTTTGAAACGTATATTAAGACTTAACGAGTGAACACTGTATCAACTGTAGAAAATGGAATGTCCACGCTATCAGCATTTTTTTACATTTTTGTTTTCTTCTTCCTTTTGTTATTTATTCATTTGCTTTTCGTCTTTCTACGTCCGTTATCAGTCAGACCTAATGTGTATGTGTGTATCTTTAATGTTATTATACACTAGCAACTTTTTTCTTCATGGACAGACAAAATGATGTCATGGGTTTTTCCTCTTTCTTTTTGTGCTGTTCTTATATTTATTCTTAACATAGTCCTTTTTCTTATTGCATTGCTACTAAATAAAGCTTATAACAACTGAAGAAAAAACGAGTAGTGTCATGACCTAAGGCATATAAGAAGAGTGGTTTGTGGGAAGGGAAAAAGCATTTTTGAAAAAAGGCGAGGGTAACTTTGTAGCCCGTCGAACGGCGGTTCGAATGGTATATAATAGTATGGGTTTACTGTTGAAACCAGGGAGGAGATACATTTGCCAGATTGAGGTGTCAATCGGAGTCTGAGGTCCGCCGTCAGT